CGGCGGGACGGGCTTCTCTGCGGGGGAGGAGGGAGAGCTCTGCGTGCCCGAGGGCGTCGCCGCGAGGCCCGGCGCCGTGGGGTCCCGCGGGCCTGGCTGGGGCACACCGCGGTCGGGGGGGGTGCCCCGGGGGTCGCTCGTGCTGGGGGCGACCCGCCGTGCGGGCGGGGCTGGGTCGGGGTTCGCCCCCACCTCCGAGCATCGCACCTGCGAGCCCGCGGTGAGCGCCGGGCTCTGGTTCCAGCGGCGCGGGGCGGGTGGTCCCGCGGGGGGCAGTGGGAAGGGAGGAGGTGGCAGCTGCCTGCCCGAACCCTCCCTGGACGGCAGCGCTGGAGGGTGGCCCGCGGGCTGGGAGGGGGAGCGCTGGGAGGATCCTCCCCCAGCCAGCGAGGGGCCAGGGGATGCTCCTGGGGCTGTGCCGTGTCCCGACCGGCGCCGTGCACGTGCCGGGATGCAGCCATTCCCGTCCCTTGGAAAAGGTGTCTCTCCTGAGCCTCACCGGCTTCCTCTGCCAGCGGTTCTGGTCCTCTCCAAGGAGGCCAGTGTGCCACCCCTTTGTCTTGTGCCTCCTCAGGGGCATCGCTGGGCAATGTCCTGCTGATCCCTGTCCCTGCTGTTCCTCCTCTGTCCCGTGGCAGAGGCCACTGGGGCGTGGAGTCATTAGTGCTGCTCAGGGCTGTGCTGTGGGTGTGGGGTTTGTTTGTTTTGGCTCTTTTTTTTCTTTCCTTCTTTCTTTCTTTCTTTCCAGGAAGCACTTAATGTTCTTGTATTTCTGGCTCCCTTTGCCACTTGAGATTTGGCAAAGACGCCAACCAAGAGTGGTTTCTAAATGTCAAACAGGACAAAATGTTTTCCAACCCCTTTAGACCGAGGAGGAAATGTCAGTGCTGTGTAGCTGGTGGCTTTCTGGGTCCAGGATGGCTCCTGGCATGTGTGGGCAGCAGCACCCGGCACACAGGCTGCAGCCATCCCAGAAGGCAGCGTTGGTGCTGTGGAATACAGGCTGTTGTATTTTGGAAGTTGCTCTCAGTGCTCCAGAGGCTTGAAGGCCTGGGATCCATGGAGAAAGGACTCCCAGGTGTGCGTGAGGCTGAGCCTCCTCAAGGGGACGTGTGGTCCCAAATGTTTGCCTTTTCCGTGTTCGTCACAGCTGTGGGAAGAGCAGGAGGGCTGGACTGTGGGATGTCCAAAGGAGAAGATGCTGGTGGACAGGAGATTTGAGAAGTTTCTCCCTGTTAGCAGGGGCAGAGCATGGCACCAGTCTCCTATACCTGAGCATGGGTAGAGCTTCTCTTGGGCTGCTGGATGAGAGCACGTGTGCATTGTGTCTGACCTTGTGCAGGTCTCAGGGGGCAAGGGGCCCTACCTGTGGTGTTCTGCCAGGCACTAGTAGGGAAAAGAAGCAAAGACCAAACCAAGGAAGGCTAGAAGGAGGAGCTGCTGTCCTGCCTTTCTCCTGTGCACCTGGTGCAGTGCCTTTGACCCCTGCTGCATGCCATCAAGGAGGAGGAGGAGGAGTGATGGTTCTTCTGAGTTTTTGTGAGGTCCCTTCCCTCTGAGCACTTCTCCTGCTGACCTTTGCCTGCTGCTATTGCCAGCACTTGGGTTTGGCAATTCCTCTTCCTGTAACAAAGCCTTGATATTCCTCACCTGGAAATACTAAAACTCACGTGATGGCTTTTCTCTGAGCTGGCTGCTCAAAGAGAAGTGCCAGGGCTGTGCAATGACTTCTGAAAGCTTCCAAGCTTTTCCCAGAAGGGCTGTGCTCCCTCCTGCTCGCCTGGGCCTGTGGAGGGAGGTGTCTGTACTTTAACCCAGCACTAAAATACCAGACTGAAGCTGTGGGTAATTTTTGCAGGTGGCTGGGCTGAAGCCTGTAGCTAAGCATCTCTGGGCTCTGGTGATTGCCCAGCAGAGCCTGCCTGGGTAAGAGGGTTTGGATACTAGAGAGAGCAGGGCACATGTGTATGCAGGGCTTTATGCACGCTCAGGCGTTTCTTTCCAACGCAGCTCCCCTCTCTACCAGCACCTTCTCCTTTGTGCTGTCTCCTGGTGCCCAGAAATCAGCTGCAGCCCCACTGCTTTGTTGACTGTGCTGGGCACGTTTGCAGGTGTGTCACACACCTGTACTGGTTCTGGGGGTCCTTGGGGCAGGTGGGTGACCCCTGATAAAGATCTGCAGTCTGCACTCGGGGGTGCAGGGTTGTGTTCTGCTCCCAGCACCGAGCTCACCCCATGGGACAGAATAAGTCCCACACCCTGGGAAGAGCAGAGCAGTGGGAGGGTAGAGCAGTGTTTTTATCGAGCTGCTGAGTGAGGAGAGCAAACATCCCGGTGCAGTGTCGAGATGGCACTCACGGCAGGAGGTGCCGGGTCCCCTGTTACATACTTTTCAGTCTTGATAAGCGTGTCCTGAACCTGTTGAACACCCGATCCCATGGGGATCAGCCATGGCTTGCCTCCCTGCTGAGCCATGGGCAAGCTTCCTAGGAGGGTTTCAGCTGCACAGAAGATCTTCCAGCGTGCAGAGGCGAAGTGGCTCAAAGCTGAGGAGCAAAGGCAGGAACAGTGCTGACTGGGGGTGATCTGCTGGCAGTTGTCTCAGGGACTGTTCTAGCATGCTGTGAAGAGGGTGCTGGTGGCAGCTGGAAGCATCCTATGCCCTATCCTGGGGTAACCTTGCCTCCTGTGCTCTGGGAGGGAGGTGGTGGGTTTGCTTTGGGGCTGCTGCTCCTCCATTCTGTGCCCTCCCACAGTCGGGGTAAGTGTGGGTTGGTGTCTCCTTGGGAGACCCTTCCTAGGGCAGGACTGTATTCACTTACCAGAGGATAAAGCCAGAGCAGCCCCTGTGTCCTTCTTCAGTTTGCCACAACCAGCCTGGTTTGTGCTTCTTGTCATACCGATGGGCTTTTCCCACCCAAGGAGCATGGCCACTCCAGCAAAATTTTGAAAGTTCCTTTCCATGTAATGCCCCAGCCAAGGTGGGGGTGTTAGAGCTCTGCCCTTAGGCTGCATGCAGGGGGTGCATATGCAGTAGCTGGCAGGGCAATTACATCCCAAGGCTGCCCTCCTGACACCCCCACCCTGATGCTGGTGCCTCCTTTTGCCCTGTGTTTTCTGCCTAATCCTGTATCTTCCACACCAGGCTTCCCATGGAAAAGAGTGTCACAGGAGGGATGTGAGACTGTGTAGTGAGAGCAGTGGTCCCTTAGATGTGGGGTGTGCAGAAAATCCGTGCCCCCAGCAGGATTTGAGATGACTCAGCTGGAAGCAGGGGTTGTAGTGATGCTTTCTGGGGGAAATAGCCTTTCTGTACCAAAGAGGCTTTATGAAGCAGCTGTACCCACTTCTGACAGATGCTCCTCTGGGATATAGGAGCTTTTGAGCATCCTGGGGCAGAATGAGCTGTGCAGGGCGAGAGGTGTGGAGTGAGATGAAGCTCACTTCCCTCTGCTGGGAGCTCCATAAAACCCTGGTGCTGCTTTGGTGTCGGAATTAATTTTCTTATCAAATAAGCCTTACCCATGCCTTGTTACTTCTGTGTTTTCCTCTGCTGGCAGGAAGGCAGGTGGGGCAGTGGGTGCCCTTTGGTGTGGGACAGCTGAGGGTCTGGTGGTCTCCACATTAAGCAGCTGTCCCTGCCTGGTGTTGCAGCACCTTTGGATGTTGCATAGCAGGGGAAGGGGCTTCACAGGGAGTTTCTGTGTGCCACGTGGCAGTTTTTGTGTGTCTTGCCTTTCTTTTTTTTTTTTTTCCAGTCTTTAAGTAAAAACGCATCTTTGGCAATTGGGTGCAGGATAGGGATGCCCAGGCATGTCCAGTTGGAGAGTCAGGAAATGCCAAACTGCAGCTGCATCATCCCATAACCCCAACCCTACATTTGTCTGCACCAAGAGTCCACGGGAGAGGGACTGGTTCCCAAACACAGCCCATGGAGTGTGTCTTAGCAGTGTTGCTGCTCCCCCCGTGTGATGCAGCTTGGCCAGGGCTCTGCTCTGCAGCGAGCACTTGCCTCCACAGCTGAGCTGCTGTGTTCCCCTCCACAAAATTAAAACCCAAACCACCTCTAAACTGCTGGGTTGTGGTGTTTGAGGCTTTCTAGGCAAGTCTTACAGCAGAGATAAGGCTAGTCCTCTCTCACCTGTAACTGCAGGTTATGCCCAGGAGACAAAATCAAGGGTATAAGGGGACATCTGATGGGGTGAGCTGTGGCATTGCCAGCAATTTGCCTGGTGTTTTTCACCTGGCAAATTTTCCTGGCCTGGCCCTGGGTAGGGAGGCTGGTGCCTCCACCCTCTGTGTGTCTGCCCGACCTTTACACCCGGCTGAAGGTCGGGCTGGCGCGGGGTGGGTGCTGGGGTGGTGGCTGCTCCTGCCCAGCCTCCTGGCAGGGAGGTGCCAGCAGCTTCTGGAGGGTCCCCCAGCTCTTCCTGCAAGTCTCTGCCGTGGAGATGTAGGAGCAAAAGGTGAATTCCTCCTCCCTGCTCCCCTTCCAAGGGCGGGGGCTGTGTTTTGCCTCCCCTGCCTGCTGGGGAGAGGGGCTCTGCTGCCAGAAGAGCAGTAGGTGGGGACCCCCCCCAGTTTCTGTGGTCGTGCTTTGCTGCTCCAGCCGGTGGCTGATGGTCTCCTGGAGGGGCTCTCACTCTCTCTGCGTGTTTTGAACTGCTCTGTAGGTCATCAGCTTGCTGAGCCCTGCCGAGCCGTTCCCTCATGGAGCATGGAGGTCTGGCAGCCCTTGCCCGAGCTGCCTGTCTGGGGTGGGTTGGGAGCAGCTGGTACCCTGCCTGTTCCAGAATCCCTGCTTGGATGCCTGCAGAGTGCTGTAACCTCTTTAGCTTTGCCCTCCCTCGTGTGCAGGGACAGACAGGCTCATGGGCAAGATGCCTCGTGGACAGGCCTCTCTTGGCACTCGGGGTGGGGGCAGCTCTGCCTGCACTGACCAGCCCTTTCCCCACAGAGTACAGCCGCTTCGAGTCCAAGATCCACGACCTGAGGGAGCAGATGATGAACAGCAGCATGAGCTCCGGCTCTGGCTCGCTCCGGACAAGCGAGAAGAGATCCCTCTATGTCAGGTAAGGCTCAGCACCCTCCGTTCCCTTGCTCCCCGCAGTGGGAGGCAGATGGGATGGTGTATCCCCACAGGATGGGGTGCAGGGAGGGATGACTCAGCCTGGGCTGTGCAGCACCTCTGAGGACAGTGTTTCAGAGGCCAGGGGAGCGAGTGCTGTAGAAGCACCACGAAATCCGGAGGGTGCAGCAGGGAGAGCAGTGCTTTTGCACTGGGTTGCCAAGGCTGGGTGCTCTGCACTTGAGTGTCTCTTCCAAGGGCTGCTCCATTTTGGAAAGCAGTGGTGTCTCTACAGAGCCCGGGGTGGCTGCTGGCCTTGCCAACCCGCTGAGGACCACTGGAGAGCAGGGAAATAATGGGCACCCAGCCTTGCTTCTGCCGCAGGCAGCTTGTGGCAGCTTTCAGGGCGCTCTGCTCGAACCACTCTCAGCTAACAGGCTTCTCCATGTCTCCTTCTGCCGTTCCTGTGGCAGGATCTGGCTGGATGGGAGATGAGCTTTTAGGAGGATTATTGCTCTGAACCCTCAATGCACTTTTGGTCTGGAGCCAGGCATGGGGCAGGCAAGGGTTAAACAGCCATGCAGCAATAACTGCTGTGAGTCCTGTGCAGCCAGGACAACCCCTGCTTGCTGCCTGCCTCCTGGCACCTCATGCCCGCCACAGTACCAGTGGGGTGACAGCTAATGAGTAATTTTAACTTGGTAATTAAAATAATCCTGTAAATCCTCACCCTGCACAGCCTGTTGCAGGTGGGGCTGGCAGGAGCAGGGCACGCTTCTTCCCTGTGAGAAGGATGGCAAGGGCTGAGGCTGCACGAGCCTCAGCCTGCATCTCCCACTGCACAGCTGCTCTGTGGAGAGGGTCTTCAGGCATAGTGGACGTGATGCAAACCTGACCTGGCAGGAGGAGAGAGCTGCAGCTCTGGGTTCCTGCAATTCACACCTTCCCACAAGTCTGTGCAGGCAGGTTGCTTGATTTAGTATCTCGGGGCTTCCTGGGGGTGTGTGACAAGTGGGCACTATGTTAAATAAACATCATCTTGTTAGTCCTGCCCTTATTTCCCTGCTTTCCTGTAGACACCCTCATGTGTGGAGGAGGTTTAAGCTGGTCCAGCTTGAGTTGAGCCTGTTCTCTGCCTGGAAAGGTGCTGTATGTATCAGAGTATTCCTGTGAACCAGAGAGCTCTCTGTTGCTTCCATGCTGCTCATAGCATCTCTTATCTCTTGGTTCATCTCTCTGTGTGGCTTTGGAGGCCTCCACAGCGCTGTGTCTCCTCACACATGCCCAGTGGAGCGGGCAGTGCCTTGCTGAGAGGGTATCCCAGGGGAGAGCTTTCCTCCAGTGTGGCCCTTCACAACATGCTCCAGCTCTGGTCGACACACACCCTGCAAATGTGCTTGCTAGAACTGCTGGGCGCCCAGGCTGCCCCAGCCCTTCTGGGCGGGGTAGTTTCAAGCACAGTTTACCCGAAACCAGCTGAACTGCTGTGCTGTGGACAGGACATCAATTACAGGACTTGCTACCCAACTGCTTGAGTCAGCCCCATGCAGCTGCACTGCATCCTGAGTGCTGTGGACAGGCTGGAGCTGGGCACCCGAGTGCCTGCTGGAGCCAATTCAGGGGTGCTGGAGCTGCAGCCGTGCAGCATGGGCAGGGACAAGGCAGGTTCACATTCTGCCTGTCACCTGCCTGCACTGCTGCAGGGCAAAGTCTGCCAGCACTGGGGCCAGGCCGGATAGGGATGGAGGTCAGGCAGGCACTGTGCCTGGGTACCGGGAGGAAGCCATGGGAGTCCTTGGCACTGCTTCCCTCCCCTCCAGCCAAACCATCTGCTCTCCTGGCTGTTTGTGCTGTGAGCTGGCCTCGGGGCAGAGCAGAGTGACCGTGCTGCCGTCTGGTCCCTGGGGAGCACCCAGACATGGTGGGTCCTGGGTGCCAGCACAGCCAGGGGCTGGTCTGCAGGAGGATCATGCCTTGGGGAGGCAAATGCCTCGTGTGCCGGCTTTGCAGGTGTCCAGCCCTTACACAGGTCCTGCTGTGCCTGTCCTGGGATGTTGGTGGCTGCTGCGGGAGGAGCCACGGGCCCAGCGCTGCTCTGCAGGGCAGGGTGCACGAGTGGGCAGGGCTTCCCTGGGTTTGGGAACCGGCCTGACCAGTTCCCTGGGGCCTTGGCCAGTGGCACAGGCCTCACAGCAGCCTGCCAGCCGCATGCAGCCTTATCTTTTGGCCAGGAGCTGCCTGCAAGGCTTATTTACCTCCAGCCAAAGCACCCGTTGGTGCTTTGCTGCCGGCTCCAGTGTGCTGAGGGACGAAGTACGAGACCTGCCCCAGCCCTGAGCAAGCTGGGAAAGGTGAACTGACCCAGTGGCTGAATGTATCTGGATGCATAGGAGACACTGGGTCTTGTCCCAAAGAGCCCTCCCCAAGCCACAAGGCAGCCCCTCTTCTCATCCTCATTTGAGACCCAGTCCCAAGTGACCCAAAAGGTTTCATAGCCCAGCACTCCCATGGCAGAAGTGCCATCCCAGCTCCATGGGGATGTACCACATGGTCCCTTAGCCCTTCCATTTACTGTGTGCTTTTAGACCCCTTTCAGTCTCCCCAGTAGATATATGACAATGAGCAGAGCAGAGGATGTCTCTCCTGCTTGAGGAAGGCTTGTTAGTGCCAGGATTAAACCAGCAGTAAGCCAGCTTTTGCAGTGCCTGGGCTCACGGTGGGCTGAGGGGGCGAGTAGGGCCAGTGTCCAGGAGCAAACACAGGTTGTGCTGCCAGCAGTGGCAATTTTTAGTGACTCTTCCCTTGGTTTGGTTTGTTGCATAGCTGATGTGTCAAAGCAGACGTGGTTTGAGATCTGACATAGTAAAATGAGTTGCACATGAAGCCCCTGAGAGCAGCTTATGGGTATGGGCTGCAGTGCCGTGTGCGAGTAGTGTGTGCAGGAAGAGTAGTGCTCTTCTAGTGAAAAAAAATCCTTTCTATAGCTGGTTAGTTTAATATTGAAGATAATTTTAAACTAAATAAACTATTCTTAGGGGAGGTATTTAGGAGACTGAAGAGAATCAGCTGTGGAAGCAGATATATATACCCTCAGATGCATTCCTAATTCACAGGCTCTGGACTAACATGCCCCTGTGCATAAAACGTGTGCTCAAAGCCATCGTGGTCTGATAGTTTCTGCCTGTGCAACCACCAGCAGTGGGGTCTGATGTTCCCCATCCTGCTCCTTGACACCACAGCCACAGAGGGACGGTGGGGAGCAGCCCTCCTGCAGGCTGCTGCTGTGAGCCTCACCTGCTCTCTAACCACAGGCGCCTGCAGTGCATCTGTGGTTCGTGTGCCTCCTGCAGCTGAGGCCAGGAGCAAGCTGTTTTGGCCCAGCACTGTTGTTCCTGCACTGCACACTTCAGGGAGGTGTGCTGAGCCTGCCAGTGGAGGGGTGTGCTGGTGGCTGGCAGCACTGCTCACCTTGGTGGATGGAGTTTTGGTTTAAATCCTCTGAGGTGTGAAGGTGGCAGTGCCTCAGGAGGTTGGCAGTGCTGCTGCCTCGCTGTGCTCAGAGAAGGCATCGCTCCTCTCTGCTCCCCCATAGAGCCCTGTTTGACTATGACCGGACCCGGGACAGTTGCCTGCCCAGCCAGGGGCTCAGCTTCTCCTACGGGGACATCCTACACGTCATCAACGCCTCCGATGACGAGTGGTGGCAAGCCAGGCTCGTCACACCCCACGGGGAGAGCGAGCAGATCGGGGTCATCCCCAGCAAGAAGAGGTGAGTGTCTGTCAGCAGGAGCTGTCACACGTGGTGCCTCCTGGAGCCCCCCAACCTCTGTGAGCCCTGCAGCCCTGAGGGCTCTGCTCAGGCTGGGGTCTGCAGTGCACTGCTCTCCATGGCTGTGCAGCATGCAGGGCACCTCGGTTGCAAGCTGGGGCTTTGTGCAGGTCTCCCTAGGGAGGTGTTTTCCAAAACTGGGTGAGATTCCAGGTGAGGAGGGGAGTGTTCAGCCCCCTCTGTGGTCACTGGGGATGGAGAGTTGGTGTTAGCCAGCCTGGGGTTCCAAGTGAGAGCAGAGTCACAGCAGCATGGAGGGCACATGCATGGGACTAACAGCTCTTTCTCCCCTTTAACTTCTGATCAGGGTGGAAAAGAAGGAGAGAGCACGATTGAAAACAGTGAAGTTCCACGCCAGGACTGGCATGATTGAGTCCAACAGGGTAAGTGCTGATCTGGGGGCTCAGCAGGGCACCTGGAGCTGGTAACTAGCGAGGGCAGGATGAGTCCCAGCAGCCAAAGCTCCCAGTGGGGCAGCTGGAACAATCCCAAAGCAAAGAGCAATGTCACTGGACCTACCCCAAGCCCACATCTGCTTGGAACAAACTCCCAATGACTGTGTAGGAATTGAGCAGGAGAGTCCAGGATGGTGCAGAAGTATTGGGGAAGGACTCCTGTGTCCAGGAGCTGCCTGCAAACAGCTCATGAAGGTAGCTGCCCTCATGCCTCATGAGCAGTGCTTAACATGCCAACAAGGAAGGGAGAACGGCCTGGCTACCCCTGCAGAGCTGCTGATCGCCCCATCAGCTTCCCAGCATCCCTTCCACATGTTTTTCTCCATGCTTAATTTTTTTCCTGCATTACAGTTCTCATGTAATCTCCATGATTTCATTTGAGGGTAACTGCCCTGACACAGCTCCTCATTGTCTCTTCATTTTAATTTTCCCCACATGCGTTAAACACCATTGTTTTTTCTGTCCTCCCTTCCATCTCCACGTTCTTCAGTCGATCAAAACGAAACGTAAAAAGAGTTTTCGCCTCTCTCGAAAGTTTCCATTTTACAAGAGCAAAGAGAACCTGGCCCAGGAGAGCAGCGGACAGGAACGTAAGTAGCCGCTGGCCAGAGAGGGCAACCCTCAGGTGCCCTGCCCTGAGGGGAGAGATTCAGCACATTTCCATAGCCAGAGGTCCCGGCATCTGCCTGGATTTCAGGACTGTGCTCCACAGTCGTGCCAGCAGCTAGAGAGAGACCGGAGCTTGAAACAACAGCAACGGCTGCAGGCTGGCACTCCCTTCCTTTCTCTCATGTTCAGTGTCTTCATCTTTTCATCCGACTTTACACCCACCTGACTCCCTGCTCTGCCTCCCCCTGCTCTCCACCCTTTGCTACGGGCTCTGCTCCCTCCCTCCGCCTGCCAAGGGCTGCTTCCCTCCGAGCGAGGGGCTGGCTACCTCCTGCAGAGCTTCTCCTGTTCCTGTCAGGGCTGAGGGCCTAGGAAGGTTCCAGCTCCATCTCCCCTAGAAGTGACTTGCAGCTCTGTATTCCCGCTGGAGAGCCCTTCCCTGTGTGCGCGGGGGGGCCGTGACCCTGCTGGTGGAGGAACTGCCCACCTGTGACTGAGGCACATCTTTGGTAGCTGGTTGCAGACGTTGGGGGGTCCCCAGCTCTTGTCTGGCAGCACCCTGGGACTCTTAGCAAAGGCAGGACATTCAGCTTGTTGCCCCAAGCCCTGATGTGGGCAGCACTGGAGCTGCTCACCAAACCCAGCCCCTCCTCCTAGATGGTAAACTGCATCCAGTCCTTCAGCAAGCCCTCACACCTCTGGAGAAGGCAGAGCAGTGTCTCTGCCCCAGTACCAGCACAGCAAGCACATCCCCTCCCCTCTGGGGCTGCCTTGGGTGTCATACAGAGCCAGGAGTTGCTGCTGGGCTACTCTGGGTGCTGCCTGCATCCTTCTGGTGTCCGTGCCAGGCTGGTGCCAGCTTCCAGTGATCTTAGTAGCCAGCACAAACCTCTGGCCTGTGCTGAAGGTTATGTTTGTGTGTCTGGGTATCTCTAGTAGTGCCTCCACCTGGCTGGGCTCTGGTCAGCTCTGTGCCAAAGCTGGGGGCTCACTGAGGCCCTGCTTTTGGCCAGCCCTGCACTGAGGTGACCTACAGCACAGGGATGAGACAGGCCACATTCTTTCAGCTTGTGTCACAGACCCACAGCCAGCTCCCTCCTTGTGCTCTGCCACTGTCCATCCCAACTTGCAGGGGGGCCCCCTGCAAGCCCATTCAGGCACTGGGGTGTGGGGCAGCTGACACCTGCAGGTGGGGAAAAGCATGTCCCCTTGCACATGTTCTAGGACTGGTTTGCTGTGTCTGGCCCCAGAGTGGCCAGGGGAGCACAGAGCCACTGTGCCCTGCCATTGTGCTCTGCAAGGAGAAACACTTTGGCCCCCCCTGTCCTGTGCCAGCAGCTCAGGGCTGCAACTACTCAGTGCCAGCAGATGCTGCTGGGGCTGCCCTGCCCTTCCCAGATCCAGAGTGGCCCTTGGGGGCTCTGTGGCAGAGAGGGTGAGCTTGGTGGGGGGTCCAGCTGCACCAGGCAAGACGTTGGCAGTGGGCTGATAGTGTCAGCTCTGAAAACACTTAACCTCACTTGCAGTTGCAGCTCTGGGCCATTCTGCACTCCTGTCACTAATGCTGGTCTGGCTCTGTCTCCCCCATCCCTCTGACTCCCCTTTCCTGCGCTCTCTTCTCTCCCCCTCTCTCCCTTCTTGCTGTCTGTGAAATCAGGACTTCCCTGGGTTAAGTGACGATTATTATGGAGCAAAGAACCTGAGTAAGTTGAATTCCAATGCACATTGTTCCCTTTCCATTGCTGGCGGTGCCTGGGGAATGGCCTGGCTGTGGCTGGGGCAGCTGTGCTTCTCTGGGTGTGGGGCAGGAGGAGGCCCCTGAGTGCTGCTCCACTGATGGGGACCCCACGTCTGCTGGCAGAGGCTACAAGGCTTGAGGTGCCAGTGCTGCATGTGGGACAGGATGGGGGAGCTTGTTTGGGGGTGTTGGCCATGCCCTAAGTATACTCAACTGAGGGCTGCCTGCTGCACCCAGGGTGAGCTGTACCTCCTCATCCTCTTCTTCATCCTGCTCCTGGCTGGGCTGGTTGTTGCTTTAGCACTCAGAGCCACTACCAGTGTGGGTGGAAGGAGGCCATGACCATGACAGGCCTGCTCTGAGTGGGGTTGGTGACAGCATTTTGAGGTGTTCCCACCTTCCTCTGGGTTAGCACTACCCAGAGCTTCAAATCAACACTGGCGGGAGCCCCATGGCCCTCCCAGCGAGTCCCCACCAAGCTCGTCACCCCCCAACCAGTGCAGAGCCTGACAGGGGCAGGCAGTGGCCAGCAAGCCTCTGTGGGGTGGTCGCAGCACTAGGATCAGCCTGTGCAAGCAAAGCCCCAAACTCTGTCCCATCCTGTCACTGTCTTGTCTCTGTGCGTCCCAGCCCCGTCCCCAGAGGTAGGCTCCCCTCTCCCTGTGCCGGAATGGAGCCGTGCCCTCCCTGCCTGCTGTGTGCATGCTGCACCTGCTCCCCCTGCCAGCACCCTCCTCCCTGTGCACTACACCTTCCCTCTGTCTGGGAAGCCCAGTGCAACCACCAAGTCTACCCACACCTGCCAGGCAGCCCTCCTGGCATTCCTGCCTTCTCCCAGAGTAGCCAAGCATCCCCCTGCATGTCCCCCATTCCCCAGCAAAGGGTAAAAGATGCCGCCCTTGCCCATGTGGCACAGACTCATCCCAGTGGGTGCTGGGGCACAGGTTTTTTGGGAGGCCAGTGCTGTCCTGCCCTGGATCAGTAGTGCTGGGTGACAGCCAGGGTGCCCCTGTGCCTCCCACCCATGCTCCTTCTGAAGGGGATCTCTCTGGTTGCTTTGCAGAGGGCGTGACATCAAACACCAGTGACAGCGAGAGCAGTTCCAGTAAGTGTGTCTCACCTGCTCTCCCAGCCCGTGTGTGTGTGTCCCTGTATGAGTGTGCACGTTCTGGCACTTCCATCTTGTCTTGTCCCAGTGGTGGTTCTGTTCGGAGGCTGGTCCTTCCTGCTGGTGACACAGATGCTGCGGCCAGCTCCCTCCTGGGAGCCAGGGAGAGCAGGGGCTGGGGAGCAGGAACAAACCTGCCTGCTCCACTGCTCACTCCTGGATGCAGGGCTCTGCTCCAAGCTTGGGTGGTGGGTTCCCAGTCCATGGTGGTCACCCATCCTTGGTGCCCACTGCAGGAAGCGACGGCCAGAGGCCAGGTCTGTAGCATGGGTGACTCCTGGAGCCCAAGCCTGTACAAGAACATGGGATCCAGCAGCAGCAGATGCTCCCTTTGTCCCCAGCAGGTCCTCTAAATACCTGCAGCACACCTGCCATCCACCCTGCAGGGAGGATGGTACATTCCAATGGGCCCAGAGCCTGCAGTGGTGGGGAGGGAAAGAGGAGGCTTGAACCAGAGCTGGGACGTGAATAATTGAAGTGGCTCAAGGGCTGGTAACTGCATGCCTGTCATGCTCCACATCCATGGGTGGAATGATGTGGGCAGCCTGGAGTGTCCCCAGAGCTGCAGGAGGCTAGACCGACAGGAGTCAGCTTCTCATGGGTCCAGAGGGGCTGGAGAGCTGCTGTGAGCACTCACCTGCCTCTCCCTGGCTCTGTTGCAGAAGGACAAGAGGACACCATCCTGTCATACGAGCCCGTGACACGGCAAGAAAGTAAGTCCTGGTGCTGAGCTGCCCCACTCCCACTCCAGCGTGGCCACCTGTGTCCCCAGCACAACCAGGGTGGCCAGGGTGCCCTCCTCCCCTCCTGCCATCCCAGCACCACGCTGGGTGAACACAAGTGGAGTCTCATGTGTTGCGTGCAGCAGGAGAGCCAGGAGTGCAGCTGCCTCGCTGGGCTCTGCCTGGCCTCGACTGCCCCTTTTCAATCAGCAGTAAAGACTTGTGACGCGGTCTGCAAGACCAAGGGAGAGATCCAGAGCTAAAACTGAGCTGGGCTTTAGTCCCCAGTTGAGGACAGGATTATCCCTTCCTGCCTCAGACCAGGTCCCTGCTGCAGAGCAACCCTCCTCCCCTGGCCCTCAGCCTGTAACTCTGCTTGATGCTCAATCCCTGCAGACCCTTTTGCAGGCTGAATATTCCCAGCCTCGGTGGTCTCTCCTTGCCAGAAGCTGGATCTGACTTTTAGGCTCCCGTCACTCCCCCAGCTCCGTGGCATCCTCACCCAGCTGTCCTGGTTGCCTGGCTCCTGCCCTGAGCAAGGGAGCAGCTTTGCTGATCCACGACCCTGGAGACCTGCAGCACCTTCCTTGGGGCCACACAGATGGTTTGGGTCAGATGGGAAGGAGATGTTGACCGTGACCAGGAGGAGATAAACTCGCACGGAGGAGGCACCTTTGGGTGCCCATGTGAGCAAGAGCACCCACTGCCAGGAGGGAGAGGGCAGGTCGATGCCGAAGGTGGCAGTAGGGTCAGCTGCCTGCAGCACAGGTGGGGCCTCAGGTTGTGGCTCTTGTTCACAGTTCACTATGCGAGGCCGGTGATCATCCTGGGGCCAACAAAGGACCGAATTAACGATGACCTCATCTCGGAATTCCCACACAAGTTTGGTTCCTGCGTGCCCCGTAAGTCTCAGCTGACATTCAGTGCTCTTGCTGGAGGGAGGGGAGAGTGGGGGCTCTGCTGCTTGTGGGGTCTCACCCACAGCATGGGGAGGGGGCCGGGAACACTGGTGGGTTTTCCCCCTCCCGGTTTGCCGTGTGTCACTCAGGTTCACTCTTGGTGCCCACTCTCCTCCAGACACTACCAGGCCTCGGCGGGAGAACGAGGTGGACGGACAGGACTACCACTTCGTTGTATCCAGGGAACAGATGGAGAAAGACATCCAAGACAACAAGTTCATAGAGGCTGGGCAGTTCAATGACAATCTCTATGGCACCAGCATTCAGTCAGTGCGAGCAGTGGCAGAGAGGGTGAGTGTCAGGTGGCATTCCTGGGACTGGGACACATCCAACCTGAACCCGTACACATTCAGCAGTTCCCCTCCTTTCCCTGTGTTGTTAGTGAAGGGCTGTAACCACATTAAGTGAGTGTGGCACGAGCCTCTCCTCCCTTGAGTCCTGCCAAGCCATGTGGCTGCTTTTCTCAGCTGTGTAACTCTTACTTCACTGTCATACCTTTGTCATCCAAACTCTGCCCGAAAGCCCAGCACTGGTGGCACCAGCCTTGTGCTTAGGAGCTCACAGGACAAAGGTACCTGACTGCCCTCAAAGCAGCAGCATTCCTCTGCAGGAGTGCTGGAGTTACCAAGGGCTTGTAAATCGTTTCAGATGTCCAGGCAAAAATTCAGTCCCTTTGCATTGGTACTGTCCTGCCCTGAGCAGGCAGGAATGTGATGCCACTGGGAGCTGGCTTATGTCTGAGGACTGGGGTTTCATCACTGTGGCTCCTCTCCTTTGTAAGCACATCTGTATGAGCAAGCTGTTTTCTGCACAGAGTAGACTGTGTGGGCAGGTCTGATCCCAACTGTCTCCTTTCCAGGGGAAACACTGCATCCTGGATGTGTCTGGCAATGCTATCAAGAGGTTGCGACAAGCACAACTGTATCCCATTGCCATTTTCATCAAACCAAAATCCATTGAAGCTCTCATGTAAGTGCAGCACCGTGTTCTGTGCCACTCCAGGGCAAGGAGCTCTGGCACATGGGGGGGCTGTGTCTGCTGCCTTTGCTTTTTAGAAAGCAGCAGAGGTTGCTTTTGGTGCTGAACTTGTCCCTTGTTAAGTAGGAGCCGGGCCCGTTGCTGTCTGTGTGATGTCCCTGCACATCTAATGCCATAGTGCATCCAGGCTTCGTGGATTTCTCTGGCTTAAAGCCCTTCATTTGTCCCAAAGAGGATCATCCATGGGAAATGTAAAAATGCTCCCAAATGTTCCTGGTGTAAACTGCTCACTGGGCCCAGAAGAGCTGTTGAGAGCCTGTAGTGCTGGATCACAGCTGGGTGGTGGCTGAGCCTGGACGGCCCTGGGGAACAGAGAGGAGATGCTTCCTATGTTCCTAAGGGGGACCTTCTGCCTGTCCTGTTGTTCTGGCCCTGGATAGTGGAGGCTGGAAAGGATGTAAGAGCTGAGGTTTCAACTCTTCTGAGCAGCAGAGAACAATATCTGTGAGGAGGTTCAACAGCTTGAGACTGACTCTGAGATCAGAAGAGACCCTGCTGGGATAACCCCTTCTCAAGCCAGAAGGGGTCAATTTGCTTATTTGGGTGTTTTATGAAGATGAGGAAACCTAGGCAAGGAGCATGGTGACAGGCTCTGGAAAAGCAGGGAGACTTCTGCAGTGGTCTTGCAAATTCAGGGAATTGTCTGGATTTGAGTTCACTCCTGTGCTATGGTGAAGGGGAGGTGGTGGCAATGGGAAGAACTGTTGGAAGTTGAGATGAAGTGCCAAGGCAGCCTGGAGCACGTGGGGAAGGGCCCTGCCTTTGAGAGCTGGGTCCTGCACAGCTTCCATTCCTATGAGCACAGGATTCCCAGGCACCCTGACTCTGTGGGCTATTTTTGCTTCTGTTCATTGCTAAGAAAAAGAACTACAAGTTTCTGGTTTTTTGTGCATGGCAGGGAGATGAACCGGAGACAGACGTATGAACAGGCCAACAAGGTCTTTGATAAAGCCATGAAACTTGAGCAAGAGTTTGGAGAATATTTTACAGGTGAGTGTCCTGAGCAGGCTTGTATCTGATTTATTTCATTTTTCCATCTGACAGCTGTGACCTCTCTACCAGCACTGTCTCACTGCGGGGTCATGGGAAAACATCCAGCTTCATCAAAGCAAAAAAGAAATGGCAGTTTGCCAGGAGGGCTCTGCAAGGGGACTGCTCCAAGATCAGTGGATAAGAACAAACCAGCTGTAGAGAAGGAGACGAGTTGTCAGGCAGGATTTTCTGAGTTTGTGAAAACTTACTGCCAACTTTAGTACTACTAAAGGGGAAGCACAGCAGAGATTCAGGGTGCTGCAAGTCTCCAGGAAATAAACTCCCTGCGTGGGGAAAAGGGGAGCATTTTCCAAAAGAGAGAAGTATCTTATTTAAAGAGGAAAGATAAAAAATTAGTGACCTAAATAGTGGAGACTGTCCTGAGTTATTACAAAACATCTCCCAAAAAAGACTGGAAGTTTGGCTGACTTCCTAAGTAGTCTTTGCTGAAGAGCCAGGCTGGGGCTGCTGGCACTTTGTGCCTGTAGAGATGAGCTGCTCATGACACAGGCATCCTTGTGCATTAAGGAACTAATGTTTGTAACATGATTAATTGTGGAAAATCATGGACAGGCAAAGATGCAGAGAAACTGGTCTTCCATCTTTTCTTCAGAGCAGTAACTGTTTATTCTAAAGCTGAGGAGTCATAATCCTGCCAAACCTTATATTACCCACCTAACAGCTACTGGGAAGAATCCCAAGCAGAACCTTTTTCAAAAATTGATCTCGTATGAACAAATGTCTGGGTAGAAACAGGGTAAGAGTTTTCCCCAGACCTGTCCTGGGCAGCAGCTTCAGAGCTGCTGGCTGTTATTCCAGGGGGCTGTGCTGCAGTTTTGCAGGCCCTCAGCATGCCACTGTACACTTGGAGGGTGAGTTTGAGGGTGACCTGGGGAAGGAACACCCTTGGCTGAAATGTCTTGTTGAAAGAACTGGGTAATGGGCAGAGAGATGGTTCTTGTCGCAAGTGCTGTGCCAGCAACTTAAAATGAGGGAACAGAGATGCTGGAGAGTACAGAGGCAGGCTGGATTACCAGGAAGCTTACCATGTGCATGTTCCTGTGATGCAGGAAGCACAGTGAAGTGTCTGTGCTGGGTGGTGAGACCATCACTGCTCTTTGAGCAAGAGTTAGTGCCGTGGTCTTTCCCGGCCTGACAGCACACGATCCCCAGCCTGCAGCAGGGGAAGCAGCAAACAGAAGGAGCCCTCAGCAGCCGACCAGAGGGTACAGACCAACCCAGCCCCTCGGGGCAGACTGATGTGCCCCAGCCTTGCCTCCCCTCGCTCGGGTTCACCACGATGCAGCAGTGGCAGTGGCAGTGCCAGGCCCACCCGCAGCCTCGGTGCCTGACACAGTTTGCAAAGCTGATTAGCAGCCTGGTGTGGAGAGCCCAGCCAGCCCTGCACACACCGAGGAGCTCTGCCAGCCGGGATCAGTGCTGGCTAATCCCCAGGGAGGTGCTGATTTAACCCTCTGTGTCGCAGTGGGGCTGTTGCAGCTCCTCTGACACGGTTCAGTCCCTGCTGGCTGTGCCCTCCGGCCCCTTGGGACAGAGGGAATGCCCTCCCGCAGCTCGTGGCAGGGAAGGGACAGTGCTGCCTGGTGCTCAAGGTCTTGCTTGTTCTCTCCTCTTCCAGCCATCGTACAAGGAGACTCTCTTGAAGAGATTTACAGCAAAATCAAACAGATCATTGAGGACCAGTCCGGGCACTACATCTGGGTCCCGTCCCCAGAGAAGCTCTGAAGATGTCCCCCACCTGCTTCCTTGTGAGCAGAAGATCTCTGAAGTCCCACCCATCCAAGCCCTCTGCCCTGAGGGGGAGGGATATGAAAACTATTCCTGCCCCCTTTTTTAGATCGTCGCAAAATTGAGTTTTCTAGTCCTGTTTCTTTTGTTGGGATGAACTCATATCATTCATCACGTGACTGTTCCCACCATTCCTGCATGGACCTTCCCACTGCTCCATTAGAGACAGATGAGAACCCATTCAAGGTCGTTTTTTATTATTATTATTATTATTATTATTATATTATTATTATTATTATTAACTAAACAAAGAATCAAGATGGGAGGAGGCAGATAAGGACTAATGTAAGAAACAAGTGAAACAATGGACTCTGAACACGAGCTGGTATCAGAGCTCCAGGGGCATTTTTCCAAGTGTGACTGTCTAGCAGCTCTGAACAGCGCGACACACGGGCAGCAGAAAGCGTTTTATTTATCTGTATATGTAATTTATATATAATATATAGAGAGATATTATATATATATTATATATATATATATGTATGTGGACTAGGAAACCTGAGGGACCTCTCTGGAAAGGTATTGTGTTATTGCAAGGTTCTTTCAGTTCCTCTGTCCCAACCACGGGGCGTAGGGAGTCCACTTGGGCAGGAAGAGCTCAAAACGGTACCAGGTGCTTTGGAAGCATCTCCCATCCAGGCCAGTTCCCTGCAGCCACCCTGGGTCTGAGGCAGAGCAGAGACTGGTACTGCCTGTGCAGGAGGGACCAGAGCAAGGAGCAGCAGCTGGTCTGAGAGAGGCTGGGAGACAGAGACTGAGCAGGAGGCTGCGGAGCAAGAGAATGGATGATACTACATATTAAATTGCACATTGTTTTACACACCACCTTATGTGTTTGCATGAGAGGTTTCCTTTTGGTTCTATTTTTTTAAGCTGATTTTAAACCAAAACCATATTGTGTTGTTGTGTTGGCTTTTTTTTTTTATTATTATTATTATTATTATTCCATTTTTCTCTTGTTAATAATGAACTGAATGGGTATAAAATCCAGTTTTTTAACTTATTTTTTAAGCTGGCTCTATTGTAAATAGAATCTAGATCTGTGGTGTTTAGTTAAGAAATACTCTACTGGCCACATGGAACAAATGTACTCACTGTCCTGTGTTGCTGTGGAAAACCTGGGATGTTGGACTGGCCCTGTACCTGTGGGTGCAGGTGAAATGACCCATTCTAGCTCGTGGCAGCACACTGACATTCCCTTCTGCATTAGCCACTGGCAGGAAAAGCCCCCAGCTGTGCCTTGGATGGACACTCACATTTTCCAAATCAGTAACAGAACTGAAAAAACTTCCTCTCTTCCCTGCTCCATGCCAAATTCCTGGCTCTGCTGCGTGCAGGTGCCAGTGGTGGCTTTCCCAGTGGGAGGCCCATCCTTCCAGCACGGCAGGACCTCACCTGCTGGGAGCTGGGGCTTGGTGGGTGACTGCGTGGCCGCCTTGCCTGGTTCTGTCTCTGACACCTCTGCACGAATCCTGTTTCCAAAACTGGGCTCTGCTCCCCCTCTTGGGGTGCCCCCAGAAGCCCGAGGTGGTGCTGAGTGCTGGCAGGGCTGAGGGCAGGGGGTGCAGAGCTGCCCCTCCTGCTGGGCACTGGGATTTTTCAAGTGAGACAACTGTGAGCACCCAGACCGACGGCCCTGAGCTGAGACATGTCTGTCCTTGAGGACACCTTGGCTTCCATACTTGAGTGGGGGCTCCAGTGTGGGAATAGACCCTGGTGTGAAGCTGGGGGGACACTCGTGTGGCCTTTGAGAAGGAGCTGTGCTGCTGGGCACCTGTGTGCAGGTACGAGCGCTCCCACCTTGCACAGAGCTGGCCAAGCACCAGGGCCGAGGTCACTGCACAAGCACGAGCAGGTAAGTGTTCTCCTCCTCTTTGGCAGGGATAGGTGAGGGCATGGGGTGCTGGTCCCCTCTCCAGGAGGTGATGGGTACCGGTGTGTCAGTCAGGGCCTGGCACACACAGGCCACGGTTGTCAGTGTGAGCAGGAACTGTAGGACTGTCCCTGTGCTGTCTGGGGAGAAGCCCCTTTTTGCCCCTCCTGCATCCCAAGGAGCCCTGCAGGGACTGAGCAGCTTCTGGGGACAGGAGGCGGGACACAGACGCAGCCGTGAGCACGGTGGAGGGCAGGAAGGATTCTGCTGTTCGGGGGGGACGACCCTAAAGGAGCACATGGAACTTTGGCAATGGATTCCTGCTCAGCATCCACCCCCTGCCCCGCTGCTCCTGCTCCGGCTGCTACAAATGTCGGTCCCTGGAGAAGTGGAGTAAGTGAAACAAAAATCCTTAAGGTGCTAGTCACACCATTCCTGTATTTTTTTTTTCCTTTTTCTTTTTTTTTGCCTAATAGCCTGTCTCCCTCTGTCAAGTCACGTGGAGAAAAAGATGATGTACTCCATGGCATAGCTGACAGTATCGAATCGATCATGACAACAGTAGTTGGTTAACAGTGTTTCTTCCAAGGAGACATATATTTTTAATAAACAGAGAGTTGCAAAGAACTCTGTCTTTGAGACCTTCTTGTAGAGTCCTTCATTGCATGCCACATCTGGTTTGTTGGTGATCTTAGCACCTATTGATATGGTCTCTCCATGGCAAACTGAAGTGTTGACAGGGGTTTTAAAAAAAAAAAAAAATTTGCTTTTTTTTTAGTACAAAAGGTGGTCACTGAGAACTTGCCTAATGCAAAAAAGGAAATTAAAAAAAATAAAAGAAAAAAAGAGAAAATAAAAGAAAGGAAGTGGCTGGGCCTGTAACTAGGCCACTGAAAAGCTCTTTCATGGTTGGGTTGTTGTAACACAGGTTGAGTCTGGCCTGATGATGTGACACCATAAGTGTATTTTGGGTCATAGTTTGAATTGTGGGGAGGTTGCTTTGCAAATAATAGGGTTTACATGTTGCTACATAGTTGTTCCTGTATTGAATATGAAGACAGCAAAGTAAATACATAGTCCAGCCAATACAGAGCTTCTTTTTACAGTTTAACATGCTGTTCAGATAGCAGAGAGGAGAAAGAAGCTGTAAAGACAACTCATATCATTTTAAATACCTTCAAGTGCAGACAAAAGGAGTGTTCACTGGAAGACAAATGGGGTGAGTAGGGTGTCACTGCATTCTTGCCTGAATCCACTTTGTCATTTAGCTGAGCTAATGGAAAGGTGAGAGGGGTTTGGTTTTTAAATATTGTATTTCCTTTTTTCTTGTCAAACTGCACACAAGAGAAGCAAATTGAGACTTCAGGAGAACAGGAGCATTGACTGAGCACATGGGCATACAGTTTGCAGACAGTTCACAGTTTTTGAAGCCCACTGGACAAATAAAACACCGTTTAGAAACTCCTTTAGCTGATCAGATCAACCGGCTGGTGGTCGTGGTTGTCCACAAAACCCCAGCAGATCAAGCAGGTGCTGAGCAGATCTGATATCAGCAGTACCACTCTCAAAAATCCAACCATTTGCTTGCCTAATGACGGACTTGGAATGATGAAGCATCACAGAAGCATTGCCTGTTGCTGGCTGCCACAGGGGCTGCCAGGCTGCTCTGTCCAGTCCCAGTAACCCTGGGCTGCAGCTCGTGGATCTGCAGCCACTCCTCCCTGGGCAAACCGGGATGTGTCCTGAGCTGATGTGTCATCTCGATCTGCTGCGACAGGAAACATTCAGGTTCCAGTGGGGAGAGGAACACGGGGTTATGTTCTCAAATAAACCCTGTCACTCCTGTAAGGTGGAGACAACCACTGGCAGGGAAACCGGCATGGGAAGAGAATGAGCGTGGCGTGAAGGAAGAACTTGCTCTGTTAAAGCTTTTTATTATTAGCACCGCGCTCTAACCAACTGAGCTAATCTTAGGGTTTTAACAACCTATTTTTCTGGCTGAGGACAAATAGCTCTGCCTACCAGGACCTTAGCAAAGTCCTGGACCAAACAACTGCAGAGCACTGTCCTGTTAATGGTCCTGTCTCCTTGTGAAGTGTAGGGGGATGGTTCTCTCTGCCAAGATGTCCTGCTCCAGCTGCCTGGAACAGGCATGAAACTAATCTGCCCTAAGACACCTCTAGAAAATTAGACCGTAAGCTGCTTGTGCTGCAGAGAAACATGTCTGTGCCTCTCTCTGCAGCTCTGGATAATTAACTGTCTTGGCCTTGGTTAAGCAGAGGAGCACAGGATCTGTGAGCCTACTGGAAGAGGGGCTTTAAAGGAATTTGATTAGAGTTTTCTGAAAAATTGTCTTCCCTTGGATGCCTGAGATGTGGGAACCTGGATAGCCCTTTGTTGCTAATGATGCTTGGCAGCACAGCCTTCAAGGACTGCTGTTCTCTGCTCTCCTCAGGATGTCACAGCAGGATCCATGGCTGTGCAGCAGGTAAAGTTATCATCATGTCAAAGGTGTCTCTTTCCTTGAAGAATCCTCAGGTTCCCCTTGACTTATAGTATTTATTTATATCCCTTGCCTCCAAAATGAGGGTTATGTTTAACTTTAGGGTTTTTTAACCCTAAGGAAAAACATTTCATTGTTGGGGTCAGTCAGTGCAGCAGCATCTCTCAGTGGAATGAGCACACGGGAGCTCTTGTGAGACTTGCAATCTCTTGTTGGGGCCACACTTGGCTCAGCACAGGGATGACCGTGGTGTTTCCTCCCTTAGTTCATGCACTGCTTGACAAAAGCTTCTGCCCAATCCCCTAATGAGCTTCAGCCCTCTGCCAATTACCTTGATTACTGTGACCACTTCAATTCTAGGTGTTGGTGGCCAGGCCGGCCCCTCTTCCTTCCTGCCCCTCCAGAATGCTCAACAGCTCGATCAGCCACAACAGCAAAGCTCTTCCCAGACTGTGTGGGGGGAGGTGGCCCATCCCCAATGGAAAGCTGCTGGAGAGCCACCTCCTCCGGCTGAGAGGGGGTAGAAGGGGCTCCTCTCCAAATAGTTATGAAATTATCAGATTAGAAGGAAAAAAAAAAAGGGCACAAAATACAGAAAGGGGGGAAACTTGTGACCTCCTGCCCTAGAGGATCCATTTGTGTTCTCAGAAGCAAGTTCCAGAACCGGTATCCAGCACACCCTGCAGCTTCCACAGTGATGTGTAAATCGGAAACAGTGCAATGCCACCCCCTGGAGCCATCTGTGCACACCCAGGGATGAGCACCCGGGCTCTCCCAGCTGAAAGAAAACAGGGATCAACAAAAAGAGAAGATTGGGGGAGGAAAGAGCAGCACTGTTTTTTTTTTTTTCTTCCAAGTCAGCTGTTGTTGGCTTAAAAAGATTTATTAACCCACAGTCACTCTGGATGGGCTACTGAACTATAAAGCAACGTTTAGCCTAGAAAAATAACCTGGACCAGCCTGCACCTACACCAGCAAACACCTGCAAAGCAGAGTGATTGCACACAAGCTGCCTACTGGGAACGGCCACTGCAAATGCAGCTAATTAAGTCTGATTCAGCTAGGAGAGGAATTCTTGCCCTACTTAAACCCTGTGTAAATACTCAGCCTGGAATAAAATGTGCCATGTGAAAATCTGGAGAGAAGAGGTGAGTACTATCAGCAGAGCCTGTGGCTGATCTGATCTGATCTGGCCTCCTTAGGGAAATCTGTAGCATAAAAGAAATCAAACTGAGTACCTCCAAGGAAAATATTCAAACAATTCCGGCTGTAGGCAAAACCACATCTAATGCTTCCTTCTGTGGCTGTATGTAATTACCTGCTGACACTTCCTGGGTAAACATGACCTTTGTCACCTGGTCCAGGGTGACACCTTTACCTGTTCATGTGTGTGTGCAAGTCAGAACTGAGAACAACAATTAAGGGCTGCCTGGGACGCACTCAGCGAGCTCAAAGGGAGGGTGGAGCCCTCACAGCAGTGCCAGTGAAAGCCTCAGCTTTTTCCTTGAGCTCATAGTCTGTCCTAACTGACTGTGAAAGCAGCAACCAGCTCTGAATTCTTGTCCACGCTGAAATGGGCTGGAAGCTAAAGTGACCTGATAAATATTTATGCAGCAAGGCAGCTATGACATCCAGAGGAGATGGAATACTTCTGGAATACTTTTATCATTCTCACTGCCACTTTCTACTAAAATCAGATGTTTAAACCAGCCTGTTACACAACAGCAGACGCATCTCATGAAAAAGTTAAATATTTATTTCTAACTGTTCAATATTTATTTCTAACTGTTAAATAGCTCAGGAGAATGAAAATTATTCCCTAGAGGGAAACAATTACATTTATTGAATAAACACTTCCTAAAAAGTACATAACTTCTTTGCCAACGAGAAGGAGATCCTGGTTTCTTTTCCACTGCTCCCATGACCTCATGCCTTTGCAGAGCTAATGGTTCTTTTATTCAGCAGAACATTTCCAAGAGAGACTGCTGTCCTTTTTTTGCAGTTGTGCCTCTCATTATTCTTCATTTGGAATAAATCCTTTTGCTCTGTCCAGTTTGTCCAGAACCTCACTATAAAGACCAATCATCTGGAGAATAGAAGCACCACAGTTGTCAGCAAGGATGGATAAAGCTGTATCATTCAACTAGATATAACAAAGTGACAGGGAACAGAAGCAAAGGAATAAGTGGGAGCTTCTAAACCTGAAATATCAGGTTGATGTAAAGATTTTGGCTCAGGTTTAAATACAATAGCTTATTAAAAACCAGTTAAATCAGTGCAACCTAATAAAGGTGTCATAAAGCATAGCTTATTTCTGAGTCTTACATCAGTGAATAAACTTGTTCACCAAATCACAGAAGTTGGGAGTTGAGGTTGAGGTTGGAAGGGAGTGATCTCAACTCCTACTGTCTTAACTGACATATTTAAAATGGCCTTAGAGTTACAGCCAGCCCTTGATTGCCCAGATTGTGCATAAGAGAATGAAAGGTGACACCAGTCAGGCTGTGCAGTGTTGCAATCTAGACAGGAGCACCAGCCAAAAACTGTAGAAAGAAGCTTACTTGTGACAGACTGAAAAAAAAAAGTGTCATTGCAAAGTGTCATCTACAAAGGTACTGGCTCTGAAATTTCTCCCTCACAGAAGTGGCTAAGCTACACCTGAAAAGATGAGCTTTAAGGATTTCACTCACATCAGCTTAAACCCTATTTATAAAACATTAGATTATACTAGAAACCAAGCTTCAGAGTATTCATACAACAGCTGACTTAAGTAAGCTGGTACAGCACCTTGACTATAGTTAAAGCAGGCAAAGGTACAAGGATTCTCCCATGGCACAAATGAAGTTTATTTCCAGTCAGCCACTTAAATCATCCTTCCAATAAAAGGACATTACATTACTCTTTCTATTGTCTATCAAAACCTTTCTGGCCTCACTTTGAAAAAATCTTCTAGCATCAGGCTCCCCCAAAATATTTAGGTACCATGCTTCTCCTGAAACTCTTCAGATATCATCACTAGTGGTTTCTTCACCCAGATCCACGTCTCAAATTCAGGCCAGACATCCAATCCCACATCCTCAGATCCCCCTGTGTACACTTACATGGCCCTCATAGCTCTTCTTCA